CTCTTAAAGAGACAGAACAATCATTACAATCAGGTTTATAGAAGACACAGTGAAAATGTAAGATCTCATTTCGAGTAGAACATCCCCATTGTCTCAGTGTGTGGGTGCACCCCTTGCAGTCCTGAGTTCCTTGCTCGTGCTCTCTCTCCTTCTGCTCCTGATTTGGACCTTGAGGTTTATGTCCGGTGCTCCAATGTGGGGTCAATGAGGACTACTGAGAACTCAAAAACAATGGCAATGGGTTTCTGATCCTACTGCATGTACTGGCTTTGTGGGAGCCTAGGCAGTTTGGATGCTCAACTTACTAGACCTGGATGGAGGTGGGGGTTCCTTGGACTCCCCACAGGACAGGGAACCCTGATTGCTTTTCAGGCTGAGGAGGGGGGGACTTAATTGGGGGAGGGGGAGGGAAATGGGAGGCGGTGGCGGGGAAGAGACAGAAATCTTTAATAAATAAATAAATTTAAAAAAAAAGATCTCATTTCGAGTTTCCAGATTCATAGGCTCTGGTTGAGGTGCATACAAAGTAGTTGAGGAACAGCATAACCTTTAGCTGTTTACCCTCAGCCCCTGGGATCGGAGATCACTGGGAAGTGAAGAGGAGAGCTGCTGTCTTAGGGGCTGCTGCAATGGGGTGATGCACTGTTCATAGGCTCCGGCTCATGATGTCTGTTCTCATTTTCTCACTGAAATTTGCTCACACATCTCTTCCACCTACTCGATAGTCATGATGATGTCTCCTTTTATCGGTGACTGCAGGAGCTCGAGACAAAGTATGGACAAGTCTACCACATTGCGGTTAGTTAGGAACTGTGGCTTTGCTATGTCTGTTCCTTAAGTGCAGTTATGTAAATACCCCCAAAATGGTGTGGTAAATTGTATAAGAATGGTTCTGCAAGCTCAGTCATGAAAGAATGGAACTCTGATGTGTTTATAAGGTTTGAGAGGTGTGGCCTGGCCTTGTTGGAGGAAGTGTGTCACTGGGAGGGCGGGATTTCAGGTTTCAAAAGTAGAAGCCAGAGCGGGTGTTACCTTCTCTCTCTGCTTATGGAACAGGATGTAGAAATCTCTGCTACTTCTCCAGCACCATGGCTGCTTGTGTACCACCATGTTCCCTGCTATGATGATAATGGACAGCCTTCTGAAACTGTAAGCAAGCCCTGAATTAAATATTTTTTTTTTTTACAAGAGTTGCTTTGGTCATGGTGTCTCTCTTTACAGCAAGAGGACAGTGACAGATGGGTCGGATTTAGAGACAGTCTCAGGGATTTGAAATCCGAATGTGTTTGTCATGTGGAGGGGAAAGGAGTGAATAACAGGAGCAGAAGTTCCATACTGACAGCGTCAAAGGCTAGGGACATTTGTGACAGGACCTATAAGTGTGGATCTGTGCCACCTTGACTAAGGTCAGAGAGTTGGAACTTCTGTGCCTTCAAGGTTATTGTCAACAGTTCAGATAGCAGGAAAGGCTAATATCCAGACCTGGTATTTCAGATTTAAGAAGTGGATCTCTTTCTACCTCAGACAAAGGTCAAGACTCCATTCCACCCTGATTTAGGTCAGAGAGTTCTGCTCTCTCAAGGTCATTATCAACAGTTCAGAAACAGGTGGCTAATGGTGATACCTGGTATTTCAGGTATTAAGAAGTAGATCTGCTTCTACCTCAAGCAAAAGTCTAAGGAACTACTATGTTCCTACTCCCCTAGGGAGATAATTATGGATTCCTCCCAGGGAGGGGTTTGCCTACAGAATGTTTTAGTTTAGGGTGTGACAACAGCAACAGAAGGTTTAACTAAGAATGGGGCCTGTAACCTTTCAACTGATGTATTCATTCCTTGAATCATATGAATGCAGTTTTTTATCTTACTCCTACCTTTTGGGGTCAGGGGTATTTAAGCAAATGGAAATTAAGCACAGGAGACTTTCAGCATTTACTAGAACTCCCTCCTGATACTATCCTATGCTTCTGTTTTATTATTTCCACTAGTGTCTTTGTTCTCTTTACTTATTTTTCTAAACCTCATGTCCTTTCTCTGGTAAGTGGTATCCTTATTGAAGCTGGTTTCTGTCACATATGGGGAAAAAACTTTATCAAGCAATTATAAAGGAATAATTGGTATGAATTGTTGTTGCTTAAAACTTGGAATATATAATTTTGTCACTCGTATAAACTTTTTCATAGAACATTAGGAACAAAACTGAATATTTATTTTAAATGTAAAATATTCATAATTATTAGTTCAATTATTTTTGGTTATCATGGGTGCTTCCTGCAGATTCCCCATTGGGAATGACAGGAATATGGGATTTCTCTTGTCAGTATCTATTTTACTAAGGTTAGACCTCCTTAAGTCTAAAGTTCCATCCCCACCCTAACTGTGGTGAGGACGAGGGAGCAGGAAGATGATAAGTGACAGATGTCTAACACAGAGTCTGCTGCCCAGGAGCCCTAGTATTTAACTCACCAAGCATCTGGTGACAAGGAATGTGAGCATCCACATTCACAGGTGACTGGCCACACCCAGAAAGATGACCACTTTGAACACAGAAGAAAGAATTAAAAGAGAAGCCAAATCCATACTTTTCCTTCTCTTTGGGTGGCAGGACCCAGCACACCATCTTCCTTGAAACTGACAACATGGGGAATGATTTTAATTGCTAAACAGGAAATTTTCTTCTCATTTAGTGATTCTCTTCCCTATTGGCAAGCATTCACACTTCACAATGAGCTAACAGGATTCAAGTTCAGCTACTTCATCTCCAACTGTGTAAATGTAAAGACAGCATCAAACTAGTAGAGATAAGCAACAGTTTTCCAAGACAATGACTATGTTAGGTCCTGTGACCAGTGCCTTGGCTATGTCACAGACAATGGGCATAGTGATGGCTGTCACCACACTGCTCACAGTAGGTGGAGCTGAGACCTGAGCCAAGGTATCAGGATATTGTCTTCTTCACTCCTTCAAGATTTCTCCCCACTCCAAGATTTCACAGTGTGGACCACCGCACCCCCAACTCCAGAGGTGGTCTCCTCAGTTCCTTTTACCTCTTTACTCTTCATTTAGACAGGAAATGCTCCATCTCAAAATCAAATTACAAGGGGAAGAGGAGGGGGAAGAGGGGGATGGTATGGTTCCCGTTTGAAGGGCAGGTGTTGAGTGCCTTTTAGAAATGCAAAGTAGAGATTTTTGAAGCCCTTAGAGGACTGGTCTCCTGGGACTGGCCCTGGGAATTAAAATTTGAGTGTCAGCACAGCAGGTAATAGAACCAAGCAGAGGTAATTCTGCTCCTGTATAATTGCATAATTAAAATAATGATACCTCAGCTTCACTTAGTGCTTTATCACTTCCAAACTCTTTACATACATTGCTACCTTTAATCACCTGTGATATTTTTTAATTTAGGTGATATTGAACCTGCTTCATGTTATAAAAATATTTTAATGTGTTTTTATTCCAGAGATGAGAGAACATGATATGAGAATGAATCCCAGCCTTGCTGTACAGATAAAGAGACTAAGATTCATAAAGTTTATGTAACTTGCCCAGCAAGTGTGCCGGCTGGCTATGTTCTCTCAGGATGTCTGCTTGCATGGCTAGTTCCTTTAAATGTGTGAATGAAAATTCCTGGAAAAAAGCTTTGTCTGCCAACATTGATTGACTGATTAGAATCTCAGTGATAAAGAGAAGTTGGAATGTTTTATGTAGGTCCAGGGCCTAAGGACAATTTATCTCAGGCCATCTTTGGCCCCCTAAGTAGCCATTCCTTGCCCACCTGTTGTGTCAGGCCAAATCTCCTGTGACTAACAGCTAAAAAGCCTTTGGAAACTGTTAACTTAGCCAGCTACAAGCTCTGTCTCTTAACTAAGAATGTCATTGGGGCATCAGGCCTGTAGCTGAGGAGTCTCTGCTTCTCTGTAATCACACTTCTGATGTCTCCACCAAATTATTTGAAAGGTCTGGATTTATGACTTCCTTTGTTTTGTTACTTTAAAGCTTCATGAAGCTGCTCCCAATTTGGAACACGGGCTTTGGAACAGCCCGAACCTGTGTTCAAGGCCATGGTTACTCATACTTTGCTCCAGAATAAATCATCTCTTCTCTGCCTTGAGGTAAGGACCCTGCTCTCACAGACGAGTTACTAGGAGTTGTTTCTGCACTTTTGAGCTGTGACAGGTCCTGCTGTGTTATGTAGTGCATGATAGTGTCAAGGCACAACAAAATTCATTCAACACTTGTGTGTGTGTGTTATTTATTTTATTAACATAATTTTTATTAATTCTTTGTGAATTTCATATCATGCAACCCAATCCTACTAATTTTCTGTCCTTTCCTTGTGTGCCCTCCACCCTATAGTCTTCCCCCACAAACAAAATTTTAAAAAATTAAAAAAAAAAAGACAGGTGAAACCAACTAACTAACTAAACAAAGAAACAACAACAACAACAACAAAATACTTCGATCCTCATCTTTCCCACCTTTCCATCACCTAATCGTTTGCTGTAGTGGCCTTGGGAGCTTAGGTGTGTCACACAGTAGACCCTTTTGCCCAAGCATAACCTGCAAATGTTCAATCGCAAGGAGTTGTTGGTCTGGCTTCTGGGACACTGCCAATATCAGACCCTCACCAAGACTCCTCTAATTTTAAAACATTTTGCTGAGAAACTTCTTCTTGTTCCTTTGAGAATAAGAGATGAGGGTCTCACACTAAACTTGCTTAATTTGTTATTGGTTTTCTCTCCCTTCTTCATTGTCCCTGAATTCTTCAGCCCTCATCTTGAGGACTTCTGTTGAATTCACAGAGAAACACAGTCTGTCAAAGCTTGGACTCTAGATCTGATTCACATGTCTTGTCTTAGCTCAGTCCTTATCTACTGAAGCAGTGTGGTAGATGACAGCATTTTCTATTCAAACCATAGCGGAGGGATTGACCCAGACTCTACTGCCAGGTTTGTCCCGAGCTCCACCTTTGGAAATCTTGGCAGATGCCATGTAAGTAAAATGGCCAAGCGGAAAAATGTGGAATACTGGGAAACAGTAGGTAAGGAGGTTGTGGTAGCTAAAATTTAAGCAAAATAAATGATCAACACTTTAGGGCTCTTAGACCCCAAGCTTGTAAAAACAGTTTTTCAAATCGTGGCCAGCTTCTTTTCAGAACCAGAAACTTTCAAACTCTCTAGACAATTGTTGTCATTTGCTTTGGTCGAGTTAGAATCTGTCCCCCACCCCCCCAAAAAAAATGCTCAACTTTTCAACCAAATTTCACCAGCATTGCTAATCACAAAAGATGCAGTCACTAACCAAGGTCACGGATGCCTAGGAGGGTGTTTGTATGGAACTGAAAGATTGGTGAGTGCTGTTTACAACCTTTACCTTGGTACCAGCCTGTCTCCAATTAGATACAATTAAAACTAACAATCTGGGTACCAGACCTGTGGTGATCTGATTAAGAAGGGCCCACATAGGCTTATATATTTGAATGTTTAGGGAATGGCTTTAGGAAGTAAGGCCTTGTTTCAATGGGGGTAGCCTTGGAAGGACCTGTGTAACTGGGGGTGGGCCTTGGAGTTACAAATGCTTAAGTCAGGCCCAGTGTATGTCTCTCTTTCTACTGCCTGCCAATCTGGATGTAGAACTCTTAGCTCCTTCTCCAGCACCATGTTGGCCACGTTGGCCTCAGTGCCGACATGCTTCCTGCCATGATGACAATGGACTAAACCTCTGAAATTGTAAGCAAGCTCTAATTAAGTGCTTCCTTTCATAAGAGTTGCTGTGTCGTGGTGTCTCTTCACCGCAATAGAAACCTTAACAAAGACCATACTAAAAGCAAGTATTAAAACCCTGGCCAGGAAGAAGCTCTTGAGCTGAACATTAGAGCTACCTTGTGTTTGGCAATGCCTCATTTCCATTCTTCTTTAAGCAACTTCTTTCTCTTCCCAAATGCACAGGTCCTTTACTGTTCGGGGGATAACTTGTCAGAAATGAGGAGTGTGGATTAAAGAAACCTTCAAAGAAGCAGTAGTACTGACCTCTAAGGGGTCAAATTATGTATTAGGACTTCAGGTTCAAGAGATACTAACCCTGTGTTGTGGAAGGAGACAAATGACTCTTACTGCATCCCTGAAGAAAATTGACTGTCCCTTCCTCCAGGAAACATCAACCACCCACAGCTTCTCTGCTAGGGGTGGGGCTTTGTGAGCCCCTCCTCCATCCATGCTGGTATTTTGTGTGGCTTGATCTTGTCCAGGTCTTGTGTCTGCAGTCATAGCTGCTGTAAGCTCATTAGTCACTTCTTAGCATTCTCGCATCTTCTCATTGTAGGCTCCATGTCCCCAAACTGTGGCACTGTTGATCTACTCGGGACCACATCCTTAAAGAAAATTGACTCTTCTTCCTTCAGAAGCCAGCAACTGTTCCTAGCTCCTTAGTTAGGGGTGGGAACTGAAAAACCACCTTCTTCTCCATGCTCTCGCGCTGACTGGCTTTATCGTGTGCAGACAAGCACAGCTGCTGTGAGTGTGTTTGTGTGCGCGGATGGCTGGTCATGTCCAAAAACGGGGTTTTACTCAAGTTTTCCATAGCCTGTGGCATATAGAGTCTTTCTTCCTTATTTCTCCTCAGTGGTGCCTGAGCCTTGGAAGGGTAGAGATAAAGATGTCCCAATTGCGGCCAAGACCGTTGACCCAAATGTGAATGGATGCAAAGTGACCAAAGGTCAGAATTTGTTTTTAAATAATAATGAGAAATAAATTTTTTTCCTTACCTAAAACAATTTAAAAACAAAACACAAGAACCAGTCATCTTCAGCTTTTATCTGGCCCCTTCCTTCCTCTCTCTGCTTGCTTCTGGGCCCCGTTTTGGCTGTTTGGTTTGCTTTGGATGTGATATTAATTCATCATTCAAGCAGAACATCCTGACCTTGCAAGTCTACCCCTTAATAAACACTGCTCTGTTTTCTTAGTTCTGAGCGAGTGTGAGATTTCTTTTTTTGTTAAGCAACCGATCATTTCTGCCTTTATAATCCTTTAGCCATGGCAGAGATGATTCTGGGAGTGTTGCTTTTGGAAGCAATCACATGAGACAATCAGGCGTAAAAACTTCTCCTCAGACTTGTCATGCTACATCATCAGAATCTCACTGGTGTTGTTTGTATATTGCTTATTAATCATCATCCATATATTTATTGTTATTCAGGGGATCGGTGTAGGATGGGAGGTAGATATAACAGTTTCAGTTACACCTTCCATAGACGACAGTCGAGCTCTTGGTATGGTGAAGTACAGACAGCTGTTTCATTAAAATATTTAGGAACATCTGCACTAAATTAGGACTGATAGATTTATGATACTTCATAGGCTGTCAGCAGAATGCATGAACACGGTGGGCTACTGTACATGTCCTGATTTTTCTAACATGCAGATTTACCCATCTTATTGTAGAATCGCTCCATGTTAGAGGTGTTCCAATTGGGTCAGAAATACAAATGTAATGCTACAGTTCTTTGAGTTTATTTTTACACTTAAGTCTTTCCCAGAGTTCAAAATGGAAAGGCTCTCATCAGAATGTGCCTTCGAAGTCAAGAATAACATCGCTGCAAAGTTGAAGATAGAAATGACGTTTGTTCTCTTGCCAGTCCATACTGCCAAAGTATTGTGACATTATTAGCAAGTCTGGATTTTAATTTTCAAATGAAGGATAGATGTGTCTTCTAATTCTGTGCCATGTAGCACATCAGCCAGATTCTGCATTAAAGCTCTGCTTTGTTAAAATGGAGGAAATAGTAAGTCCAGTCCTTAGTTCTACAACGTGTTCTATCTATAGCAATCCAAAACACAATGCTTGAATGACTACAGGGCGAGGAAGTGACTAATTAGTGAGAACCATTGTAATGAAGATAAATTATAAGAAATATCAAATAGCACAAGAATAGTAAATAATATATAATCAAAAGGAACTGTAGGAAAATATCCTCCTCTCTCCAGAAATATGAAGTGTTGAGTTTCCTATAGGAAAGCAGATGGTAAATGATTTTTATCAGTTAAACTTTGTATCTCTATTTATCCCATGACAAAGGAGACGTTCATTTAGTTTGGTATGGAGAATAATTCTCAGCATGCTCCCATCTTTACCATCGAGAATGTGGACCTGACTTCCAGGGAGTGAGTGGTTGGATGGAATTGGCTGTGGAACTGAGCCATTCTGCCCATCACCTGGGAAAAGAGAGCCATGTTCCCTACCACATCAGCGTCCACGTGGTGTCCCACACTGAAATATTGTGCTTCTGCCTGGGCTCAGCACCAGCCAGCCGCACCTCAATTTCCTCTAAGAAAACACTCAACCAGGCATTTATTGCAGTTGTAAATTTGTCTCTAACCTTAAACTGTCAGCTCTACTATTTACCTACTTGGTTCTCATTTCCTTTAATCATCCAAATTTCATATTGTTAGCTGGAAACCTAGATAGCTGAAAACATAATCCACCATTTATTTTGTGAAACAAATATTACTTCCAAAGCACAATTATTTTACCAGTTTTCTATGAAAGTCTCAAATCCCTGTGCTTCTGCATGTATTTCTGGCGAGAATGACAGGGGTGCTCTCCCGTGGTCTGACTCCCATCTTCTCCATGGTATTCTGGCATCTCTTCAGGACGCTTGTCAGCTGATCATCTGTAGGTGGTTTGGGGTACCTTTTACCTCTATTCTTTTGGGAGCATTCACATTCTAGCTTTGTAGTAGGTTCTAGAATTCCATTTAAAAACAAATATTAAAATAAAAATTAAAAATATTAACCTGTTTCATGTTTCTACCTCTGGCTGATACATTCTTGTGCCCACATATTGTACCTTACTTTTTTCCTTTCTGTGATAGCATTTCTGACAAAAGCACTGAAGGAGAGAAAGGCTTCCTGGGCTGACAGTAGAAGGGTACAGTTGATGATGGTAGAGGAGATAAAGAAGCAGGGGTGTGTGACAGCTTCAGGAAGCAGAGAGATGGATGTTGGTGCTCAGCTCACTTTCCCCATTTTATTCAGTCCATGATCCCAGTCCATGAGATGCCGGTGCTCACACTCAGAGGAGATCATCCGTCCCTCAGCTAAGTCTTCTGGAAATATGCTCACAGAGGTGTATCTCCATGATGGTTCTAAATCCACTCAAGTTGCAATGAAAATAATCACAACTCTATCTCTTGTAAACTCGGTGTTCAAACATATTATTTTAAACCACATTGCTAAAATTATAGGTCCTAAAAACCCATTTTCATCTCATAAGACAAAATAAATTTAGCTAGTCTCTAAATATTTAATCATATTTACCAGTCTCAACACCATTCAGAGACCAAACTCCAAAAACTTTTAAGGAAAACGAGAAACTGCGATCCCCTATAAGATTATGAAACAAGTAATATACCTCTAATATATAATGGCACAGAATAAACATCAAAATTCCACAAGACAGGGTAGTAAAGAAAGACTGGACAAAAGCAAGGGTAAAATTCAACAGAGGAAAAACACCAAAGCCTACAACTCCGTATCTGGCGTCTGGGGCTTGTGATGGAATCACCTGGCATCTAACAGCTTTGGCAGCTCTTCTCCTCCAGCTCTATAGCTGTAAAGCACCGTTGTTCTTTCTTGGGTCAGCTCCACTCCATGCCTGCTGTCTTTGATAGACATCCTACCGTCCTGGCAACTTCAACATACTGTTGTTACCCGCATTTCATTTCCAACTTATGGTTTTCTTTTCCAGCTTCTTGGAATGTCCTCTCAATATTCCCTTGTGGGAAATTTGACTCTGCCAAAATTGCCTAGTGTTATTTTCAGGTGTGTGACTTTTGTTTATGTTGCATTTTATGAACTCTGTGAAGCTATGTTACTGTGCCTGTCTACAACACCTGATGGTCTAATAAAGAGCTGAATGGCCAATAGAGTGGTAGGAGCAAAGATAGGTGGGGATAGGAGGCAGAGAGCATAAATAGGGGGAAAAGAGAGGAACAAGAGAGAACAAAGAGAGGAGGACATCAGGGGCCAAGCACCCAGCTACACATCAAGTCAAGGAGAAAGAAGTAAAGAAAAGTATACAAAAATAGGGAAAGGTAAAATCCCAGAGGCAAAAGATAGTCATGATAATTTAAAATAAGACAAGCTGACCAGAAACAAGCCAAGCTAAGACTGGACATTTCTAACTAAGAATAAGCCTCCATGTGCAATTTATTTGGAAGCTGGGTGGTAGGCACCTCAAAAAAACCAAAAAAAGTAAAAAAAAAAAAAAACACAGCATTTTGCTGTTCCAACAAAAGGCTTGAATATCCACTAGTGCCAAAGAAAGCTGAAAAAGAAATAAGACTTCTTTAATATTTTGTGTCTGCTGATGAACCCTTGAATAGCCAGTAGGTTAAGTAGAACAAAAACAAAGTAAAAATGCTTGATATGGCACAAGTATCAGCATTCTAGAGCTCTAGAAGTTTGCATGCAGTTCCTGATCAGGTACCTCCGACCTGGCTGCAAGCTTTGGACTTGGCCTACAGGACCCGAACTGAGAATGGGCAGAGACAGTGGCTAGAGCACCTGGAGGATCCAGGTGTAGTTTAACAGTCTAAAGTTAAAAACAGTCACAAACAGTGAAAACATATACAGTAAAAGAGGTCCAAATGAAAACAAAAGAAAACAAACCTCTAATCAGGTCTCAGTGTGTTTTATAATGTGCGTAGGCTTAATAAAGAAAGAAAATGGTTATGGGCAGTCATAGAAAGAAATAAATAGATTAAAAATAATAAAGTCTTTAAAGAGACAGTAAAAGTAATATAAAGGAAAAAACCACATAAAGATGAGAAACACATAGGGAGTCTGAATCTTGTATAGTGTTGTGCTGATTTTGAAGTTTTTTGGTTGCTGAAAAGCAAAGGACACTTGCTAAGAGACCTGGAATTGAAAGAGGGACTGTTGAAATAAACCAGCCTAGATATTTTAAGTCTGCTTTAACTTTAAAAAAGACAAAAAAAAAGTATTTGTCAAATGGAGATCAAAAATGCTTTGGAGAAGAGGTTTTGCTTTTGTTTCCACAGGAAACAAGAGGCTGTGGATTTGTTCCAGGCTGATTTGGGTTTGGTTTGATCAAGGGAGACCTTCTGAAACTTGACAGGCGATATCTTTTAATAAAGGTTATAACTGGTCTTTCCAAGACTTGGCCATTATCTCAAATTTTCTCTCTGGGACCCTAAAAATACTATGCCCACAGCCAGCAGGAAGCAGTCTAGAGAACACAATGTCCACATTCCCAAGAGAAAAGGGGGTGTGGGTGGTCTTCGGTTATTTTGTAGGTCATGGGTGTTTGTTATATTCAGGGGAAAATAGGAATATAGGATAAAAGGATCACTATTACTTCAAATATTTTGCATTGGCATGGATTTTGTTATATGGCTACAAGTTCAATGTCAATTTTCTTACATTTTATATATGTTTTACTTTTGTTTAAAGGACTTTTGTGTATTGATACAAATTTAAAGTAATTTTTGTTACAAGACACCGTAGAAATGTTTCTACTCTTGTTTAAAGGATTTTGTATATTGGTACCAATTTAAGGTTATTTTTGTTATAAAATATTGTATATATGTTTTTGCTCTTGTTTAGGGTATTGTACCTATGCAGTTCATTTTAAAATGTATGGTAAAATTCTAGTTTTTAAAATCTATTTAGGATATTTATGAACTATTTAGGATA